TGTTTTTTGAAATACCATTGCTAAAATGATTCCATAGAAAAAAATATATTTTTCTTCATTTTAAAAATTGTTGTCAGTATTACAGGTGTCCCCCGTTTTACCCCTTTATGCCTCCCTCCATCCACATCCACCCCCCAGGCCTTCCCCACACTATTGTCTGTGTCCTTGGGTTATGCATTTATTCATATAAGCTCTTTGATTAATCTCTTCCCCCCCTTTCCCTCTGAGCTTCATCAGTCTGTTCCATGCTGCTACGTCTCCGGATCTATTTTGTTCATCAGTTTATTTTGTTCATTAGATTTCACATATAAGTGAGATCATGTGATACTTGTCCTTCTCTGCCTGGCTTATTTCACTTAGCATAATACTCTCCAGGTCCATCCATACTGTCCCAAAGGGTATGAGATCCTTCTTTATAGCTGCATAGTATTCCACGGTGTAAATGTCTCACAGCTTTTTATCCACTCATCTACTGATGGGCACTTGGGCTGTTTCCAGATCTTAGCTATTGTAAATTGTGCTGCTATGAACATAGGGGTACATACATTCTTTCTGATTGGTGTTTTGAGATTCTTAGGATATATTACTAGAAGTGGGATCACTGGGTCAAATGGCAGTTCCATTTTTAATTTTTTGAGGAAACTTTATACTGTTTCCTATAGTGGCTGCACCTTTTCGATTGGATAGTGCTTACATGGGTGTATATATTTATCAAATATCAAACTGTACACTTAGATGTGGGCTTTTCATTAAATTTTACCTTGAAAACATTGTAGAATATACACATAAAATGATATTGTTCTTTTAAAATTTTAGAGCAGTCAAAGAAAAGTACATATGGTTTGTGGAACTACACAAAAAGCCTACGTCGATGTGAGAAAGGCCATCCACCAACTTGAAGACAACGGTTACCTCTCAGGAGAGAGAGAGAAATGGGATCGAGTGGGATACACGGGGACATCTACACCATCTCTGTGATATTTTTACTTCTTCAGGCAAAATGTTCACATTTGTCAGATCTTATTGGTGGCACATAGGTATACTTTAGATGATTTGTCATTCCCTGTGTCTGAAATGTTTCGTTTTAGCCTTTAAATTTTAAAAAGAGGAAAATAAACTTGAATAGAAAGTTCTGGGCGAAGCATGGCTATCTCTACTTCCTCTCCATTGTCAAGTTTGACACAGAAAAGAATGTTTTCTGATCTCCGAGTGAGCCCAGGAAGCTGCTCCCACGAGAACACATCAAAGCGCGAGAGCCTAATGGGACGCCAGGGACAGCGGGTCAAACCCGAGGCTCATTTTTCTGAAACTTTGACAACATTCCACAGCATTGTCGTTTCACGCCCCTCACGCTTCAATATATAGATTCTGCTTCAAAACCTAACACCGATGCGGCTGAAAAGATCTAAACCTGGAGACAAAGAAGACACATCTGAGTTCATCTGGTAAAATTATTTCAGCGGATATGGGTTTTAAGATTACAAATTTTATATATGCCAATAGAGTTATATATTTTAATTTCCACTTATGTTTGGAAAGACTTCTAAGGAGCTTAAAGACACCTTGTGAGCTCAAATTAGTAAGGGAGATGCTCCCTCCCTCCTTCCTTCCTTCCTGTTCAGAGAGAAATAGGAAAAAATAGGGCAGAGCAAGATCTCACTTTCAAAACACGCTCTTCCTAAAAATCGTTAACACCAGATTTCCAGGGTTTCTGCTTACAGTTGCATTAGCTTCTGCAGGAGGCCCGTCCCAAAGACGCGAGCCAAGGGCGCTCTTGCCTCTTTTACCGGTTAAGTCAGGTGCTCCTTGTTGGTAATCGCCAGAAACCCAAGTTGAACTAGTTCAAGCAAAAAGGAGGAGCTTATTGGCTCAACTGGGCAAACCAGGGCGAAGAGGGCTGGAGCTGGCCTCGGGTCGGCGGGACGCGGACTCTGCGGGCACCGGGACGCCCCCGTTCCCGTCCCCCCCTGTCGCGGGCATGCTCTCTGGCGGGACCGGGCGGAAGGCAGCCGCTCGGGTCCATCACAGGCGCTTTCCTTGGGCGGTGGGCCTACGCGCACTTGGTCTGATCTTACTGATATTCCCGGTGGTTCAGCATGTAAATTAGAAACAAGTGAAATGAACTAGGAATAGATCAAGGGCAGGCAGGCGGAAGCAGGTGCACCCTCTCCCCAGCATTTGTCCCCTCCTGTCGCTCTCGCACCTTAGGACAAGTTCACAAGTCCTGGTCCAGGGCCGCCCACCAAGAACGTCTCCTCCCTCTTGCACCTCCTAGCAGGGTTTCACTACACACATTTACATCTTAAAAGATCATCTCAGTTTTGCTCTGGAAAGTCCCCTGGCTCCCCCACGGAGATGTAAATACTGTGAGTCAGGGTTTGGGACAGGAAGCAGAGGAAGGTTCCACCAGGAGAGGAGCTGTGGGAAAGTCTGATAATGGGGGAGCGAGGCCAGAGGCCCAACACGGGTACCCGAGCCCCAAGGCAAGTGGGAGGGAAGCTGGGCCTCCTGCTCTGCGGGGACAGGGCCAGGCTGGCAGGTACTGGTGGCAAGAATTGGAGCACCGGGGACGGGCTCAAGATCCAGGCTGACGGAGGCCTGGGAGGGCCGGGAGGGCCAAGAGCTCTGGGAGGCCTGGGCTGAAATATAAATCCAGGCAGTCGGCACTAACAGTGAGAGGAGCTTTATTTCAAACAGCCCGAGACACTTCTGTTGGTTTGCAAAGGCTCCATTTGCGAGTTCGAAGCGTCATTCTGTGGATTCATTGCTGGGGGTGGAGAGCAGGAGACGGTCCCCACACAGCCTGTTTTGACGTTGGGATCAGTTAGTACAGGGATCAGCAGGCACCTGGGTCCCAGTCTCCCACAGCGACAATGACCCTGGGAGGGGCTGGCGGGACGGTCCCCTCACGCTGTGCCTCGGGTTCATGGGGAGTGCTCCCTGTGTTCCTCTGGGGGGGGGGTCAGGAGCCAGCATTCCTCCTGGGGCCACTCAGCTGGTCTTGGAGACAGACACTTCCAGCTCAATGTCATGGTGGAGATCCTGGGCGCCTGAGCGAAGGACTTCACCCAGCTGGTGGGAGGGGCGCCGGGCTCGGCCTCCAGGGGGCCCTGGGAAGGAGCCCCGAGTGCTGGGGGCACTAGGAGAGGCAGGGGCCGGTCACACAGCCCCTCCTTGCGTTACTCAAGCCCCCACGGGACTAGCCCTCAGGTGGGGTGGGACAGGCAGAGGCAGGGAGGTGCCCCGTTGGCGGCAGCCAGAGGACAGGGGCATCTGCAGGGTGGAGGGGGCAGGAAACCAAATGGGGACTCCCCTGGGGAAAAAGACGCCGCCTCCAAGGCCAGGACTTGAGCACAAGGTAGAGGCTGGGCAGTGAGACTCCGGGAGCAGGGTCCCTGGCTTTCCCTCGCGGGCGGGAACAGGTGCAAGTCCCTGCAGCCAGGTGGGGATGACGTGAGTCCCATGTCGAGTGGTTTCATTAACAGTGAAGGAAAGGATGGCGGTAACAAGTGAACGCTGAGCGTCGCTCTTTCACGGAGACGTCGCGTGTATCTCTGAGCCCTGGTAACAGCCCTGCAGAGAGCATTCGTGTACATTAGTATACCTGTGTCACCGAGGAGGAAGCTGAGGCTCAGGGGGTCCCCTGCCTCGCCCGCAGCCCTGCCCAGCTGCTGGGTGTCACTCAGCCTCCGGCCTGGTAGGGAGGCTGGGTCACTGGTTTTAGAGAAGCCGCCTTGCCTGGAGCGGGCCTGGGCTGCGTCTTGCCTGAAACAGAGCCAAGCTCGCTCCGGCAGGACTTCCCCGGAGAGGTGAGGCCATCCGTCAACACGCACTTGACTGCCGGTGACGGGAGGGATGTTGACACACCAGTCCTCACTGTGCCGGTGGAAACCGAGACCTTGTCTTTAACCCCGCTCTGCAGGTCAGCGCGCCGGCCGGCAGCTGTGTGGCCAGCGGGGCGCCTGCCCGACCCCCAGCATCTCCTGCTGGGAACTCATCTGGCCAAGCAGCGCTGGGTGTTCCAGGCCCACGGGGCCCCGGGTGTGGGCACGACGTGGCTGACCTGGCCCGCAGCCCGCAGACTGCACGCACCGGCCAGGACAGCCACCCCTCTCGTGACCACGGCCACGGGAAAGGACAGGGCGTGAAGCGGAAGCCACTGCTGTGCTTCAGCCGCATGCCGGAGAGCTGACGTCTCCATTGTCCACTTTCTCTGTTTTTATTTTTTTCTTTGTTAATCCTCAACTGAGGATATTTTTTTTTTCATTGATTTTTAGAGACAGTGGCAGGGAAGGAGGAAGGGGGGGAGAGAGAAACCTCAATGTGAGAGAGACAAATCCATCCGTTGTCCCCTGCACATGCCCTAACCTGGTTTGGGATCAAACCTGCAACCCAGATAGGTGCCCTTGACCAGGAGTCGGACTGGCACCCTTTGGTGCTGGGGCTGATGCTCTGACCAGGGAGACACATTGGCCAGGGCTTGAGTGTCCACTTAATGTCCACCTAATGCGCCCCAGGGTGGGACCTGGAGAGTGTTATGCTAAGGGAATAAGCCCGTCAGAGAAAGACAAGTGTCACATGATCTCATGCACGTGGCATCTAAGGAACAAAATAAACCGATGAACAAAATAGACCCAGAGACACAGAGGCATCGATGGGCTGAGGGGCCTCCGAGGGAAGGTCGGGGAGAGACTGACCTAAGAGCTTACACGCATAAATGCATAACCCGTGGGCACAGACAATAGTCGGGTGAAGGCCTGGGGGGCAGGGTGGAGGGGGCCAATGGGGGGAAAGGGGGACGTTGTGATACTTTCAACAATAAAGATAATAAATAAAGAGGGCTGAGTGCAGAATAGAAGCCTTTTATGACCGCAGAGTAAGTCTGTTCATGCGGACAGTTCGGGTCTCCAGTCAATTTACAGGGTTCTGCGACCGTCACCCAAATCCAGCGTCAGAACATTCTCATCACTCCATGGATGCATCTCATTTTTTAATTATTTTCAATGGCTCGTTTCCCAAAGAGCATTTTGACAGTAAAGTCATATTTATAGTCAAAAATAAACATTTTGGATGATCAGGAATTGAGGGTTTTTTTTTTTTTAGCAACGAACCTTCCTTAGAGGAACGTCTTTAAAGGTTCTTCTTCTGGAAGAAATTTTGAAAATTAAAAAAAAAAAAAAATTGATATGCAAAAAAAACCAAAAACAAATTAAATAACAAACTTGTGGCTAAATCTGAACCAATTCTGATCACATATTTATGGAGTGTGATCTTTCTATATTCTTTTGCAGATAAATAGGGACACGTCGTCTCTCTTTGGAGCATCTCTTAAGACTTAAACTTTAGTAACTGCTTTTGCATTGACTTGAATTATGTTAAAAAGACAAAAAGTATATTTTTAAACAGTCGTGATTCATGTGGAGAGGCTCTGGATAATTTTTATTTTCTTCTTTATACTTTAGCATGTTTTCTGCATTTTTAGAATCATCATAGCTGTGGTCTGAAATGATGAGAAGACACATCCAACGTCCCTCGGGGAGGTGGCCAAGCTGGCAGCCTGAGCGCCCTCCCCAAGATCAATGGACAGCTCGTCTTGCATTTTACAATGGACCTCAGAGGACACTCTTACTCTCTTAAATTTAATTCACTGTCGCTGTAATCCCCAAGAGCTGACAACACATTTTATTAAATTCGTATAGAAACAGTAGCTGTGTATTAAAATAACACGGAATAGGCCCGTCCTTGCACGGAGAGAGACCCGGAGAGACAGGGAGGCCCGTAGCCTCAGGGGCGGCCCAGAGTGAGCCGGACAGAGGCCAGTTTCCCTCGTGGGCATGCCGGTCATTCAAGTAACCGGGTATCTAGTTTCTCACGAGACCAGGAAAAATCCACGTGCGGCACTAAAGCGCCCGGCACTTCACAGTGCGCGGGGCTGCGCGAGGCGAGTCTGAGAGGGGAGCAGGCCCCTCGCGGGGGACGTGGCTCCTTCGCGTGAGCCCGAGAGGCCCCAGAGGGCAGCTGCCTGGCAATGACCTCATTTCCTTTCTCACGTGCGGAAACCGGGGGTTTTCGGTTCTCGCCACACCTTGTGTCTCGGGCCTGCGAACTTCAGCAGGGCGAGACCACACCATG